TTTATAGGGCAAAAAATATATATTTTTTAATTATAATAGATTTAATTCAAAATTTTGATAAATAATATTAATGATTAAAAATATATAAAATGAAATATGGGAAAGAATATACTAGGAATATTCTTTTTTTTGTGTTAGAAAATGGAGTTCGATTGGAGACAAATTACTGCATTTTGGTGTATTACTGTATTTTGGAGTGAAAAATGAGTTTTTTGATGACCTAAAGGCCAGTCCAATGACTCAAAGTACCTAAAATCAACTAATTATGATCATTATGATATGAAGACCCAACTAGACTTGATTAACGGCCCATATTGAATCTGATTATGCATGCTTAATTATGCCTTTTAAATAATCTTATGTGAATAAATAATTAACAATTATATGACATTATATAAATCTTTTATATTCAAAAAATCTTTTTTTGTTAATAAAATAATAAAAAAGAAGGTAGTAATAGGTTCCAAAAATGCATTTCAATATATAGCGTGATTGTTTTGTGCAAGAAATTGAACTTGAAGAGTGACAATTGGTTTAATATTTTTTCATCATGCACACAATAAGTTATGTGATATAAGTTTTTTTTTTATATTAAGAATATATCGAAGAGAAAAACGAAAAAATATATATATATATATATAGTTGTAAAGCTTCCATAATTTATTAAAAAAAATCGATTTAAGGGCAAACTACTTCTAAGCAAGACTTCAAGATGAATCATATATAATCAAATAAGGTGATATTGAAGGCAGTGAGGAAAGGTCTTATGTTCAATGGTTGTAAATACTATAGTTGTAAAGTGCAATTAATGGGGGTTAGATGTAACTCTTGATGAATGTAATATAAAGACTACTATTATGGCATGTGTCTTCTTATAGCCTAGGTCTTATTCTGATGAAATAATGAATCTTTAGTCACATTGTAGTTGAGGTAAATACTCTTGCGATGGCTACAACAACTATTTCATAGGGAGGGTTGCTCGTGTGGAATTTTTAAAGGAACTTGCCAACCTTTCTAACTTAAAAAGTCTTCCCAAATGAATTGAATGTGGGGCTATTATAATTTTATGAAGGGTATCTTAATCTTTAAGTGATATATTATTAGTGCTATCATTATAAGTAAATGGAGATCGCACTCTTTCACGATCAAATTAGGATTGAGCGATGTTGTTTCATATGCAACTTATTTAAACTTTGACAATCATAGAGCATTGATATGAATATAACAACATCTATCACAAGTAATGTCTCGAATAGGTGGTCAAAATATACCACAAAGCAAATATTGATGTTATGAGCACACCAATGGTGATGAATCAAAGTCTTGATGGTTGAATTCACCATTGGTGACAATAGTTTTGAGAATATTTATTATCTTTTTATTAGTATCACATAAAAAAAGATGATAAGATCCTGCAAATTTTTAATCTATCAACTTCTCTCTTTAAAAAGTAACATCAAGTCAAACAAAAGTAAAATGATTGATATATTATGTGATGTGTTAAGTCTTCGAAGGTTTGAATGTTATTGGAATTATTACACATAAATGAAGGCATACTAGTGGCTATCAATTCACCCCGACTAAATCTTGGATAATGGTCCTTTAATGCTATGTCAAACAAATCCCTTTTGTGATCATATGCCAACATAAGTATTGGGAATAACCTGCTTGTGTCGAGTTGTTCCTTTCTAGTTTATCTTGATTTGGGACATATATGAAAGATTTAACTCATATTTGAAATATAAGTTGTTGACTACCGCCTTCAAAGCTATCAAATCAGTAAGAATATGTCCTAACTAACTGAAAGATCTCGATATAAACTTAAAATGATAATGGTGGTGAAGTTTATAACATTTTATTATAGACCAACTCCTCTAATAATTATTTTGATAATATATACCAATAAATTTCAAACTTTGTCAGTCGTATCACATTATTTTTCAAGGAGCCACATAGCTAAGTACACATTCAAATGACTTTAATGGGTCATGCTTTTGATGAAGATTGATGCTAATAATTGATGTTATCATCATGATCATTAGAGACTAAACTTAGTTTTGTTTCTATTATCATATGATTTATCACATGATTTTGTCCATTTAAAGAGCTCTCTTCCTTAGATTGTAATCATGATAGTGGAAAGATGGTGGTTTAGAGGTAAAAGTGGTTTAAAATTAGGGAGAGCTAAGCATACACATTGATTATGCTTTTGGTGTAGGCTATTTTTTTGGGTGAGAAGGACATCCTGAATAGTTATATTTGGACCTTCATTTTTTGGGTGCTGACTTTTTGTCGCCCTATCTTGTTACTAGGTTGCTATGTATTTGTGCTCAGTGAAGACCACTGGCTCATAGATTTTTTTTTTTTTTTTTGATCAAGCAGTATAGAGTTGGAGGTCTCTTTTATGACATTATAATATTTTTGGGTAATTATCGCGTGAGTCCGTTGGTGCATGAGTTTTTACCCCAAAAAAAAAAATGATTACTTTTACTTAAGCCCCAGTAGAAAGATTTTACTTTTTACCAGCAGTAGCTACATATATCGCATCTGATCAATTGTTCTTCCCTGGCAAGGGACGGTCGAAATTGGATTAATAACTAGTTTTGACAAGGCTACAATCTTCTAAGCATTAATATATTTAGTGCCTTCTTGAAACAATTCTAACATAATCTCGAGAAAGTTTTTAGCTAATAAAAATTTGAATAGATTAAGTGGCCGGAACTCCTCAATGGACTGAGATTTGCAAGACAAATTATCTTTTTTGTTTGTGAAAATAAATAATGGATCCGATCGGACATTTTAAAAGAAACTCGATACTGCGACAACATCTAATACTGCGTAGCGTGTCGTTGCATATTCCAACCCAATCAATAGTTCAATCGGATCAATGAATCCTTGATCATTAGAGAGAGGGAGAGAGAGAGAGAGAGAGAGGTTTGTGGTAGCAGTTCTTAGGAATATTTCCCCAGCGCCCTCTTTGTTTTTGTTTATAGGAGCTATCGAAGAGTTGAATGATTGAGCATTTAATTCCATCATTGACGTCGCGAAACACAAACACAAACGCATATTAACGTCGAATGGTTTCAGATGTCAAACGATCACTAAACCAAAACTATCCTTTAGTTATCTATTTTGAATTTTAATGTCTCAGATGAAGATCACCAAAATATTAGCCGTTAATTTAATTTTCATCTATAGGCATATTATATACACGATAAAAAACTTTAGTTTCACGTCATACATATATTTTTACCATATAAATATAAAGTTCCAATATATTTATATCAATGTCTCTGCAGCTTGCTTGCACCAGCCGCTACCTTCCCAAATTAAAGAGATGCATGCATATGAGAGATAATGTATCAGACCACTAACCACTTCACGACATCAATCAATAATATATAAATAATCAAGTAATTAATTAATTCCTCCTCAATTATATGCACTTTTTCTTATATTTATATATATAAAAATATATCACCAACTACCATAGATAAGACCAATTAATATAATGCTAAAAAGATTATAAGCGGCCATGTATATATATCCCTAACGATATGGATATGAGAACAATTAACATGGCATGCACCAACTATAAAAATGGTCAAATATACATTACTATTATTATAATTAATACGGAAGAATTCAATCTGATCACCGCCTACCCCTCATGCCTGGAGAGACAATATCTCCTAAGAGGCCATCATCATTGGGAAGTACCGTCGGGAGCTCCGGCACTGACTGGAGCAATGTGGTCGCCGGAAAATAAAGCTGCTGCTGCTGCTGCTGCGGCGGCGGAGATATATTTTCTAACAATGATGAAGTAGTTCTAATGTGGTCGTGGAAACCGATGGCAGCGGCGCGGGGGAAGTTAACGGTGTGGTGGCAATGCTGGCCTTCATAGGTTGTGATGACAATGGAAGGGTCATCGGAAGACCTTTCAACACGCTTCTTCACGGTGCATTTGCTATTTGTGCAACGGTAGTAGCTCCTGCAAATGTAATGAAGAATGTAAGATATTGGTGAAGGAAATATTATTTATGAGTCTGAGATGTTGCTATAATCCAAAATTTGATTCATTAATGGGATGAAAATTTTATTTCACTAACAAACTTCGGAGTCTTAATACGGCTAAAAAAATATAAATTGAGATGGCCAGGAGAGGAGATATAAGCTAGACATACATTCATTACAGGAGTAACTTCTATAAAATAGTTTTTTATAGGATTTAGTTGCATCGTATTCTACTGATATGACAGGAGCTAGCATGACATTAATAAAATATTTTCAGACAATGTTAATAAAAATTATATATTTAGCATTAATAGTATAACTTAAGAATTGGTACAAAGGATTTTTACTGGCTTTTTCCAGTTTCATCGGAGTTGGACAGTAAGCTAGCTTAGTTGCAAGGAAAATCATAGAATCAAAGGGACGGGCTTGAATTAAAATTCATTATTTATAGAAATTATAGTGAAAAAGGTTAATAATTTCCTTTCGTTTTGCTATGATATATTTACGTTTTTTTTTATAAATATAACTAGTTTTTACCAATAATAACATAAAGAAAAAATATCAGCACCAATGTTATTATAAAAATTGGCGGTATTCTAATTATTTTTTTTTTGTTGCAGGAATGCGAGAGTTTTACGTACACTTTCCTTATAATTGCACAAACTCTGACTATAAGAAATCTACAATAATGTTTTGTAAAACCGTTAACCATAGAATTTCTCAAGGGAATTTCTTGTAGGCCGGATTTATTTATTCCCAAAAACTTAGAGGTGATATATAATATATATTAACAACTGCTACAAACAATACAATAACAAAAAATCCATGAACAGTTTCAACAGTGTTATTAGCATTTTCTAGATGCTTTATTTTTGAAATTGATCAATGCTTTTTGCTCTCAGAAAAGTAACACATTATTTCATATAATAAGTTAGTTTTTGATAATGAGTGAGCAACATCATATTTTCTAATACCTAAAGTAGTTAAAATATATTAGATATTTTAAATTTAATCAAGAATATGCTTCTCTAGATGTGGGAGCATTTTCATATCTTAGCCAAGTTGAGGAACACCAGATCATCAGAACAACAAGCTACTCAAGGTTAACTTCATTCTTATGCACCACCAATTTTCATCTCATTTCGCTCTCTGAGAAAACCCTAGGGTTTTCTTGGTGGCGGCGTGGCTTTTCCCCGCCGGCGGCGGGCATTTTTTTCGGCGGTTTGCTCAGGAAAGTTTTCCCTACTCTGTTCTCTTGTTCTCTTAGGTGTTAGCAAAAAAAAAAAAAAAAAACCAGATCATCAGAACAAAAATTAAGTGCAATATATATAGATATTCATATTTGAACATTAAAGATATATAGCTGAAGAAATGTTGGAAAACGCATCAATATATAGTGTGAAAAAGAAAAAGGAAAAAAGTAGCTATAAAATGCATTACTGACCTTGGAAACGGGCTGTTTTTGACTGCTTTCTGTCCATATTTTCTCCATCTATAGCCATCTTCGAGATGGTCTATTTCACTCTTGGTCATGAAAGCAAATCTTGGTTGACGGACTCTCTTTTGAACTTTCTTACTGGTTTTATTATTCCTGAATCCAGAATACTTTCAATAAATTAATATGTTACATTAATTAATGCCTTAAGAACCAAAACTATGGTCATCATGTTCACATTTATTGGGCATTATTATATATCGTCCTATGTAATATATTTTATAAGCAAAAAGAAATCTTTATTAATAACTATTTAAGAATTCAAATGTGCGAAAATTGTACAGGAAGACGCCTCCTCAAAAAATTTAACTGTTTTAGGAAATTAAAGAGGATTTTGGAGCTGATCTATGAGCTGGATAACCAGTGGGTAAAGGAGAACAAGGCATCTAATTCTCCAGAGAAATGTAAAATCGAATAATTCAAACTTATTCTCCAACATTATTACAGTCGATCAACTTATAAGGTAATAAATAAAATTTTATTTTGCATACATTGAAAGGTATAACTATTGATTAGATATACTACTAAAAAAAAGACACTTGCAAAAACGATATTGAAGAGAAACAATTTAAAATTTAATTAGGAAAGAAAAAAGAAATATGAAAATAAAAAAGCATCTAAATAAAGTAAGCCTCCATCCGGTGCAATGCACACCTTTTAATTTAGGTGAAACAAAAAAAGTCAAATTTTACAATTTAATAACAAAAAGACAATATCTAGTAATAAAAGCGACGAATAAACATCCTATAATATAATTAGAATTATGAAAAATTAATAGGAAAAGAAAATTAATTAAAAAAAAAGAAAGTGAATTACAAGTTTAAAATCAGAAATTAATCTTAAAACTTTTTGACTGATTACTAGAAGAAATCTTCAATATATTATATAACAGCAAAAACAAAGAAATGAACAAATAAATTTGTCCTAACTGCAACTGATATTCTGAACCGACACAAAGAGAAGTATAATTGAGCTAAATTAAACTATGTCTTGCGCACTACAAGTTCCCAAGTCTCAATTATTGACAAACAATCTAATGGCTAACTGAAAAATGTCTAAAACTCCATAGCATGCACTTCCCTAAATAGAAAGACAATAGCTTCCTATTATTACAATCAAATATATATTTTCAATCAGTCATTCATGAAAGGAACTACTATTCATCAATAGCATACTAATTTTACAATCAATCATTGATCGTAAATGAGAATTACAGTGTTGAATCATTTAACTTATAAAATAAAAACTACGGTAGAGAATCACAAAATATCTTTATATTTCATTAATATGTGTAGCCATTTTCATATCCATTAAAAAAACTTAAATTAAAAAAAAAAAAAACACAATTACACATTTCATAGCGCTGTGGTGTGAGTCATTTGATTCTATGGGATGAAAAATTTTAAGAATTTTTTTTTTTTTATATCTATTGAAGTCAACACATTTTTAAGAATATACTTATTGTACTATAAATAATAAAAAATTAATACACCACTCACAGTGCACTGATTCATTCTTCGTTAAAAAAAATATTTAATATGATTTTCGGAATATAAAGTTACCATAATAACGTAAAGGTGCAATTACTCGTTCTCATCCTCTAATCATTCTCTTTGAAAGCTAGGTTTGACTCTAATAAACCAAAATGGATTAGTAAAAAAATAATGGATTCATTCTCAGCGTAAGAATGGATTGAATAACTGTAATTGAGTAACTTCACCTCTAAAATTATCATGATAGCAATAAATCAGGATCTGATCTACTGAAAATGGATTGAATTTATGGTGAGAAAAGCTGTATTGCTCAAATAAACAATACAAGGCTGATAATCTCCAACTATAATCAAAACACTTCCTCGTGTGTAACAAAATTAAAGGATTCTAATTTGCATGCATTTGTAGACTAATAATCTAAACTCATTAATATTCATCATATCATGAATTAGAACATTCACGGCAACATGATTCGATTCATGAGCAAAAGGGTAAAGAATATTCTGATCTAAACAGAAGAGTACTAACTCAACAAGAAAAGTGTGGGAAATAAACAAATAGAAAAAAAGCCTGAACTATGCAATTGATATAGTTAAGATAAAATAAACAAAAATTCCAGAGAAACTTCCACTAGTATTGATATGACACCCTAATCATAAGATAGCTAATAATGCTTTACAGGCTTCCATTATAGAAAAGAAATATACTTGCAGAAAAACAAAAGGAAATCAACCTACAAACTGATCAGATTGAAGTTGACAAAAAAAAAAAAAAAAGGAAAGCTCTTTTCATCCTGAGCTTCCATGCTGGTGTCTTCTTCTTCCAATTTAATTAATCCTTAGCGTTATACTAATCCAATTATTGTTATCAGTGACGAAGTATTAATTTGACTACGTCAAATCTTAACCACTCCTTAATTAAAATTTAAAATCCCACGATGCGTCGGAAACTACACAAAACCGCGTAATATACGGAAGATTAAACACGGAATTCCCGCCGCAATGAGGGCACAACACATCACCATTAGCCCCGTATTTTTTACCATATTTGCATAACTAACCCTGCTCTGTGCTCAATCTTACAGTAACACACTTGCACTACGAGTCTACGAGACTCTTATCTCTAATTCTCCATCCATCAGTTTAACTGAGGCCCTCAATTGGTAGTTTATTACGAATTTGCCACTCTAAAGTAAGATAACGAGAAGCGAAGCACTCACGGTGAATCGGCCGGCGGCTTGTCGCCGGGATCCGCCGGTGGCCCCTCGCTTGAGCTGGACGACACGGCATCGCCGCCGGATCTGGCCGCAGCTGATCCAGAGGCCTCGCTAAGATCGGGAGGCGGGAGCGAGCACCACGTGTCCGGCTCTTCCTCGTGGATCCTCGGCGGGGCCCAGCCATGCCCACCGCCGTCGCCTTCTCCGTACAGATAGGCGATTCCGCCACAGCCATCACTGGAGAAGTCCCAGGTGGGATCGCCGGTGGTCGAGTCGATCTTATTTTCCATCGGCAACTTCGCGTTGAGATCCGATTACCGGAGCGGAGGATTTCAATCGGGAAGAATTACAGATTCCAGTTAGGGCAACGGAGTAACTGCTCTGCTGTGTTATTTCTTTCTTCTTCTTCTGCTTCTAATAAGTGAGTCCCTCTCCTCGCTTTTTATTCTTCCACTTTCCCTTTTTTTATTTTTTTTAGGTCCTTTTTTATGTCCTTTCTACTTCGCGGGTTTTGGAGTGGACGCGTCGAGCTTTTGCACCTTTTTGAAGCTTCTTCTACTATCTTTTATTTTTCCTGCTATTCTCTCTTTAACATTTTATTTTATTTTATTTTATTGATTCATTTATTTTAATATTATTAATTGCACACAGACCTTTCTTTTTCTTTTTTTTTTTTCATATATTGGGCTGTCATAATTGTATTGGCTTTAGCTTGAATAAAAAATAAATTAGTCAACTAACAAATCAAATACGAATCAAATTAACATTTAACTAAGCAAATAAAAATCGAGTTAGTTCAAGATAATATATAAATATATGTAGGCCTCATACTCATTGAGTTATTTGTTTTGTTTAATGAATTTTGAGGAGATAAATATTTTTTATATAAAAATTATGATATATTATTATCATTTGTTTTATGAAATCCCATTTGATATTGACATTTGCTTAAAATTTTGCAAGTTTCACAGAGCTCTAATAAATAAATCTTTTATGGTTGTAGATTAATCTGGGAAAATTTGATACTTTAATAGCAAAATTGCAAGCTATAATGATCTTTTGTTTCTAATTGTAAGCAATTTGATCCAAAAATATTTCTAAATGTATTTTAATTATCCAATAATTAAACTTTTGATCTATCAATTTATTTTGACAAGTGAAGCCTATAGCTTTAAATAATACATTTTGTTCACTAACTAGATATATATTTGATTGATGTTGCTACTAGGGTGTTGTCATTAGGTCTTGATTGATCACATAGGCTAACTCATAGACTGTATGATTCGATCTTCTTCCAAATCAAGGGGGTCATCCATTAGCTATGCATGTTATTGCCAAGTGGTAAAATCTTTTAAGATTCACTTAGAGAGTGTGATTAGGATAAAATGATCATTTTAAGTTCAAATTTTGATGTTATTTTTGTCAGTAACTGTGAGGTGTTGGTCTAGTTTTAGTTTAGGTTATTCTACAAGATATCACAACAATGTAAAATGCCTATATATAGACATTGTATAAGATGTATTGATTTGGAGAAAACTTAGAATAAAGCTTTATGATAGATTTTCCTCCTCAAATTTCTCTCTCTCTCTCTCTCTCTCTCTCTCTCTCTCTCTCTCTCTCTCTCTCTCTCTCTCTCAAAGAGCTCAAGAACGCTCAAGAACTCCTCAAGAATTCATAACAGTAACTATTAGATTATTGGATTGGGTTAGAAAGAATAATTCTAGGCAATGAATCACATTTTAGTTGAAATTTGATAAATTTGAACTAATGCATACTTCGAGACTCCTTATCATTCATTGCTTAGTAACTATTAAATACTCTCAATTTGCTTAGAAAATTTTAAATCATTCATTGTTTCATTGAAATTTGATAAATTTGACTTGATATAATGCATACTTTGAGACCACTTATCAAAATATATATGGCTAGAAGGTAAATCGATCAAACTAGCTAGAATTGAAAACTTGCTATAACATGTGGATGGCTTTAATAAAATATACAAAATAAGATATTAAATATATGCTTAATGTCTCATCATATCATCAAACTAACTAACTAATTGTCTTATATCCCCTCAATTTTCAACCTTCAACATCAACTATGATGTAACATTCATTGATTCTTTAGTGATAACTCCAACACCTCAAAACTATTAATGATGCCACTATAGGGAACGTCTTTCATAATTCATATCTAGTATATTACATTAAAATCATATACAATTATAGGAAAAGACTCCATTTGTAATCTTTTATTTAGATTAGTCAATTACTTCAAGCCAAACATGCTATATTATTTTTTCTCCTTTTGAAGTTTCCCCTTATAAAACCTCTTTTTTTTTTTGCGCTACACTTTAACTTATATATGTATATATGAAAAATCTTTATATAATTTTAAGACATCAAATTATTTTTTAAACATGAAAATTTCAGCATGCAATAAAGTTCTTTATATCTACTAATAATAATGTATTTTGATGTTGTAATTTTTATATACTATAAAAATGATTTATTATATTTAGGTTTTGTTTAGGACAACTTTCTTACTGTTTCTTAAAGCAGATTTATAGTACCAATTTTTTAATTTTTGAACTAAAAAATAAGCTTAAGAAGTAATAAGAAAGCCGTGAAGCCTTAGTCTATGCACCAAAAATGATTGGCCAAATATTCGATTTTTTATAGATGTAACAAAAACATAATATTCATATTATATTATAAGTGCAACATTTTGAATATTATATAAATTTTAATAATATATTCAATCTATATTATAAGTGTAAGAAGCATTACTATATAAAATATCCAGGGCTCCTGAAAAAATGCATTATGGAAAAATTAAGGCCAGTTGACTCACTTATAAAATAGAAAATTTCATAAAACACCCTTGAGATTAATTTAATTTCAAAATTGTCAGCATGCAACATTTTGATTTTATATGATTCACACTCACATAGAACGTAAATTTTTGTGTAAAATATTTAGATATATGAGATTAAAGCTAATTAATATATGAGATTAGAGTAATATTATTATCTAAGACTAAATTAGTCATATAAATAATATAAGGATTATCTTGAAAATTAACGGCTTAATTAATTATATTCATCTTTATTAACTCCTCATCTAAGCGGTTCCGTTCTTTGCACCCACTGGCGCCGTAGTTTTACCACTTAATTAATGAAATACGTGCGTTCTTACCTTAATGAAGGCGCACCTGAATCACAACCGTAACTGCGATCAGGACCGTCCGATAGCTTTCGTGATAGAATCGTACGGTTGGGGAGACGACGGAGTTTATGCCGTCCTACTTGTTGTCCTCGGATCTCAACGGAATCATCTGTTCCACAGTATTCTCCGGCTTAAAGTAATTTCTATTTGAATTCAGCTAAATTGATGAGGGCGAATGGGGCGGGGCGAGATCGATCAAATCGGCGATTTTTTAAAAAGCGGGAAGGGATGGGTGGTGGGGCCCGCCTCGAATCCTTTGAAACCTAACTTGGTCCGCACGAAAGCACGTCGCTCGCAAGAATTTATTGCCCCGCGTCTCCGCTCATGGGTTAAAAGAAAATTACTTTGAAATATATATATATATATATATATATATATATATTCCGTTGGACATTTTTTTTTACTTCATGTGACCCATAATTGATGGCTTTAGAGAAATATATCTGCTATTTAATATTTTGAGAAAATATATTTAAAACTTTTTTACCAAATACCGAGCAAAAACCGAGTAACAATCCTCTGACCGAACGTAGAGCTACGTCCGCTCAGAGGACGTAATAAAATATGACTCAACTGTGTACAATATTCAAATATCCAAGTTAGAAAATAGTTCAAATCCTATTTGAATCATATGTTCCAAAGTTCAATATTAGCTTGTTTTGTACAATATTAAAATATGACTCAACTCTGTAACACACAATCAAGTATTATACATGCTAGAAAATTTAAGTCAGTAGAGTACATATTTTACATATCCATATTATACAAACAATTCCACACACATAGATAAAATTAGTAAGATCATAAATTTTTCACATGGAATCAGAAAGGGAAAAAAATCACAGGGCCTAACATTGATGAAAAATTCACTATATATTAGACGATGTAAGAATCCTTAATTCCTCACAATTGAAAGAGAATACAAATATTTTTGAATAAAATAGCTGATTTATTTTTTGTATGATTATAAATGTATAATGTCCACAAATGGATAATTGAAACTCAACAATAGAGTTACAACTTAATAAGAGTTTGAAGATGGATGCGATTATTAATGATGATTGTAGGTGACAATGATAGTTGTCGGTGGCAATAACAGATAGTTGGCGACGATAGCTGGAAAATACAAGAGAGCTATATAGTTATTGCAGACTGAAACATTCGCTACAATAGATATATAAATAGCTTAATGTCTTAGCTTTAACGAATATCCATCACACATAAAAATAAAAAGAGATGAGTGCGAGATTCATAAGAGACACCAAGATATTTATGTGGAAAAACATGAAGAGGGGAAAAATCACGAGGCTTGGCCCAGTCAAAGTGATTATACTATTATTTGTAATCGATGGCAAATTGTGCCATTCAGCGGGGGGAATGCATTATCTTAATGTATTATATAAATCACATTACATAGTTGGGGTTCGATGAATCCAATGATAAGGGATCCATTTTCAAGAGAACGTTAGTATGTTCATTTAATTGGCAGAGCAGTATATGCGCAATGGAGATCAGATGGATTGTAGTCGACAGGAAATGGTGGTTGGAAGGATCGTAGTCGGCGAGCAATGGTGGCTGGATGGTTCGTGGTCGGCGGGTGACAATGGTCGCATGGTCCGTAGTCGGTGGGCGACGATGGTCGGAGGGTTCGTACTTGGCAGGAGATGGAGGTTGAAGGGACCATAACAGGCATGCCATGGTGGTCGGAGGGACCGTAGTCTATGGGTGACAAAGGTCTAATGGACTATAGTCGGTGGGTGATGGATATCAGAGAGACCATAGCCGACAAGCAACAATGATTAGAGGGACTATAGCTGACAGGTTACGGTGGTCAAAGGAACCATAGTAGGCTAGCAATAGAGGTCAGAGGGAATGTAGTCGGCCGACGATGGAGATCAAAGGGACTGTAGTCAGCGAGCGACAGTGGTCGGAGGGATCGTAGTTAATGGGCCATGGAGATCATAGGGACTATAGTCTCCAGGAACCGTTGGTTGGACCATTTGAGGGACCAACCATAGTCCACGGGCTCGACGGAGGTCTGAGGGATCATAGTTGGAAGGTGACAAAGGTTGTAGGGACTATAGTCAACGGGCGACGGTAATTGGAGGAACCATAGTCGATACGTGAAGGAGGCTGGAAGGGGCATAGTTGGCGGGTGATGGAGGTCGGAGGGACTATAGTCGGCGGTCGAAGATGATCGGAGGGATCATACTTGGCAAGAGATGGAGGTAGGAGGGATCGAGTTAGAGGGCGACGATGGTCGGAGTAGCGTGTGGATGGCAGACCAGTGGAGGTACGGCAATGGCGACCAT